TCCTTCAACTCACTATGCCTATGTGGACCCTCGGCCTGGCTCTCTAGATCTGCCTTTTCCTGCCCAGGCCATAGCAGAAAAGGGACCAGAGCAGCACAAGAAAGGGAAGGCTGAGTGTCCCCACCCCCAATTGCTGCAATGAGGGGTAAAGGCAGAAAAGTGCAGGCAGAAAGTGGATTCATCCAGCAATGTTAGAGTGGGTGCAACTTTGGGTACCATTTAGCCCAAACCCATCTCCATTGATTCCAGAGGGCCCACCTCCTTCTAGCTAGAATTTTTCCTTGGAGAAACAGATGCAAGCCAGGGGGTTTTCAACACAGTGGGCGTGTGGGGGAAGTGATCCTCTTTCCGCTCTCCATCTTGTCTGGTCTTTGTGCTTACCTTCATTTGTTCCCTGCTCTTTTCTGTCCAATGTTTTTGCCTTCCTCATAATTCCCCCATCTTCCTCTTCTTACCACTCCTCCTCCACAGATCCATTTCCATCTCTCCATTCACACCAGCCCAAAATGGAGAGTCTGCTTAAGAATTACTTTCAATTACCTATCTTTCCTTCATTTGCCCTTATATCTAAAGGCTGTTGACATCTATCTTCAATTTCTGTATATTCCAGGTGACTTGTGCTTATTTAAACTTTGCATCTCCCTTAGCAAGGAAGCCTTTTATTTCGTTCAGCTTTAGAATGTTACAGTTTAAAATATTTTACTTTGGCCTTCTGAAAATCCCTTTCTCTGCTGCCATCTCTGGTGGCTCTAAGATTCATCATCTCCCGACTCTTCCATATCTATAGGCCACACTGGTCCCTGGGATGTTCATTTCTCCTGGGTGAAAGAGGACATGAAAGGATAATGAGGACCCCTACACACACCTCTTAACTGACATGTGCTGGCTCCTGGCTGTGAAGGCAGTGTCAAATGTCTCTAGAAGCTCCTGGTGCCTGCCATTCTGTTCTCTCCTGTATGTATCAGCCTGATAATTGTCCTCCCACCCTAGATTAACTGGAGCCCCATCAACAAAGCCCTCAGCCCTCAGCCCTCAGCCTCAGACCATACCATGACCCCCTCACAACTGAACTAGCCATCCTGTCTTGCAGATCAAATTGGGATGAAAGTAAAGACAGTAAAAGCAGAAAAGCAGAGCATAGGGTGGGGGTGGGGGTTTGTGGGGAGGAATGCCAGCTGGACCCAGACCTTCAGGTGGTTGGGAATGGAATTTATATCACGTCTACTTCCTGAGTTCTAGACAAGAGGTTAAAAAGAGAAAAAGCAAGGGTTCTGTAGTAGAGTAGCCAGTAAAAGACTCACATACTCCCATGGCATGGCTTTTGACTCATATTCCAGAGGAATGAGGAATTCAGTGCCCTGATGTAGCCACCACCTTGGTGGCAGCTGTTGGGGTCGGGCATCCCATTTCCGCAGGTCCGTTCAAGACTCAGCCAAGAGCCAGCCTTCCCTGGAGGGAGTCCGAGAGAGCCTGCACCTTCAAAGTCAGCATGTCCAGGAGGGGACAGCAGTGCCTTATAATCTCTTCAAGATGCTCTCTAACCAATTGATCTCAAGAGAATATTCTGGAAGACAAATTGGTCGGATATTCCAGCCTAGATATCTACTACCCGACTCCTAAATGCCTAGTAATCCTCGCCTTTTGGCCATGCTTTAAAAAAAAAAGGGAAAAGTTTCTTTTTTATATGGTTAGGAGCTATTTTCAACACATTTTTAGTCCTCCAGAGAGACAATGTAATGTTAACAGTTGGGAAACACTTTCCACTGACTGTCACATCCACCCTCTTAGGAAGTCCGTCCCTCTAGGAGAACCCCCACACCAGCCTCTGGTCCTCCCTGAGTCCCCCTGAGCATCCTCCATGTGGCCTAAAGATAGTGCCCAGTAAACAGGAACAGCAAGTACATCCCAGAAACAAAGACTCATCCACTAAGGTAACACTTCAATTTGATCCTGAACTTCATTCAGAAGGATAGGTTTCCAGAGAATCTCTCTTATTAGCTGCCCAGTGCCACTCCTATCACCGTTGCCAGTTATACCGAAACAAGGTAATCTGCATAAGTATATGAAAGTAGGTTAATGGGCTTTTCCTTCCATTTGCCCTTAGCCTGTTAGCTGGAACCACTAAACAGTAGGACTCTTTCTGAAACTGTTCCACCTCTGCCCCACATATGGAGTAATCACCTTGTTTCATTTATACCAATTGCATGAACAGATTAAGTTAATTGCCCCAATATCTTTAACCTCTTGAAAATTACCAGATCATTAGAAAACAAAGATGAAAGAATTGGCTACTCAAAAATTTACTCCACGCCTACGATTAGTACTATATTAAAGCTCAGCCAAGGATTTTCGGGAAAGGTGAGCAGTTCTGTGGGCCCCCGTGGAAGGGGGACGTAGGCAGGGTCTCCAGGGCATAAGTCTTCAGGGAGTCTTATCACCCCTCTTCCCCAGGAAGACCTCAGACATAGAAACCATAAGCTGACTCAGTGGAACTGGAAGCAAATCTGGGAAAGGGTCAGAGATGGGTGGCACAAGTACTCCAGCTAATTCTGAATTTAGCTCAAAAAGTAAAACTGATGCCAGGTAATTTTTCAAGACATTGTGCTAGGGAGTCACAGAGAATGGCAAACAACACAAACACATCTCTGGACTAAAAGTGCAGGTGCCCGAGCCCAGCTGGTCTGGTCTCCCCTTCTAGTTCACCAGGGAGTTCCACTTGCAGCAAGGCAAGGGGACCAAAGATAAGAACCATTACACCAGGTCATCTAGGAATGTCCTTCAGGAGCTGGCAGTGTGTGTCAGCGGACTGAGTTCTTGAGAGCAAGGCTGTGTGTTAGGCTTCTTTCTATGAGTCCCACTTAGAAATCACTCTGTGATTGCTTTCTGATTTCATTATTTTTGAGGCCATGGGTTTTATAAACATAGTTCCTCACATTAGAACAGGTTTGTGTGAGAGGATGACAGGAAACACTTCTCCAGCAAGTCGAAAGCTCCCTCTCAAAAGCAAGACTTAAAGCCCGAGAAAAAATTAATCTGTGAGTCTCTTGATTCTCCCAAAGTGCAAGTCTCTGGAACACTGTCATTACCCGGGCTGGGGACCCCTCGCAGGGATCCCAGAGCCCCCATTATCCCACTCACTGCTGCCCTCACAGCTCCTCCCAACTGCTGCTTGTCTCCTGTTATAGAGACATATCATGAGGATTCTTAAATTAATACATGTTATTAAAATAATAAGATATGACCAAGGCGATTAGAACAGACCTAAAGCTAAATCTCAAACTAAAATATGATTTATATAGATGAGATATTAAAAAAGCTATTAAAGGCTTAAAATCAACAAAAGACAGTTAAGACTTTTAAAAATCCCAAATGAAGGATTCTGAATATTTAAGAAATAAAATAAAACAAATAGTTTAAATATTTAATTGGCTGGGAGTTGTTCAGCTGGACCAGGTAACCCATGTGAGTTCCTTAAGTTGTCTCCATTCTGGTCCTATTCAGGATGGAATTGACCTTGAACCATTCACCTAGGGCTCTTAGCAGTAATAGGCTGCTTTGTTAGTTTTTGGGGTGGATCCAAGAGGGAATCGGTGGCCCGAGCCTGCTAGAAACTCTGCCTAATTCTCCGGCATAGTGTGTGGTGTAGACTGACGTCTGTCTGACCTTCACATTTCCTCCCTCACTGATGTCCTAGAAACACAGAACTCCTTATCCATTAACAGGAGCACAAGCATTTGACCATCTCCCGTGTGTGTGTGTGTGTGTGTGTGAGTGTCTGTGTCTGTGTGTGTTTCTATGTTTTATCACAGCCTGCGAGCCAAAAATCTAGTGAGCCTATACCCTCCAGGCATGTGGATTGGCCTGGCAGCTAGTATTCCTCAAGGAGCAGAAACTCAGATCTAGACTGTGTTCTGTAAATGACTGGAGAGGTGTCCCTTTTTTCTCTTCCTTTGCCTCACCCTATATGTCCATCATTTCAAAAAAAAAAAAAAAAAGGACATCCTACCCACTTGCTATGGGAAAAAAAGGAATTAGCTGAGAAATCTGTTGCCAAAAGAGTATTTTCAATCTGCAAGCAAATGTCTAGTTGTGCACATTTCCATCCTTCAAAAATTTCATTACCTGTTTCTTTGTTTGTACCTTAAACACAGAAACACAAGAGCAACCACCTGAAAGTGGAGGGTAAAAGCAAAGCCATGACCTTCTAGAAAGAGTTAACAGCTCAGCTGGTCAGGGGCAGCCAGGAGCTGAGCTCTTGTGCTGGGGCCCAAAGAGTTGGGGCTCAAGGAACTGGTGCGTACCCACCTGCAGCCAGCTTCCGCAGCTCCCACCCCCAAATAAACTCAGCAGTCAGACCCTTGAGAACAGCTTCTTGGGTGTTAACATCCATATCTTAAATTGTGTGCAGGGTTCTCAAATGTAGAAAACAATTCCACACTCATTATTTCATGCATGGCCAAGGTTCTCCACACCTGTAGACTGGTACTAAGCAGGACCCTCTCCCACCTGAGCCTCAGCTTGAGGACTAACCCTTGCTATGCAAGGCCACCTCTTTAGATGCTCCTCAGTGAGAACTAAAACCCAGTCTTCCCCTGAACCTGAGGGGCCATTGCCTGGGAGCCCCTTCAGCTGGCAGTTCCTGGGGCAAAGCTAGAGTGCATAAAGTACAAGCTCTTGGAGATTATCCTAGGATGTGTGGCTGATCTTAAAAATGAAACAAAACCTCCATCCACAAAGTCCAGAAGACCTCATTGATAATGGGTGTGAATTATTTAATTTGAGGCCAGAGTTGGGTCCTTGGTAGATGTGATACACGGCTGTGCAGAGTCCACACTCATGGTGCAGAACCTGCCGGGCCTACGCTTTGTATTTCTTTCACCTGTTTCCTTTTGCCCTCTCCTGCCACTGGGTTGCTCCTGTGTTAGCCAAGACCTAGAATACCGAAGGCATCTTCGTTGGAGACTCATTACAGCTTAATCTCTGTCTGCCTTTCTTTAAAGCCAGCTGAACACACCCAATGCTCTCCCTTTATGGTAAGACCGACCCTCCAGACCACGCTCTCAGCTTCTGTGACCTCCTCTGACGTCCCCCACTCTTACCTACCCAGCCCCCAGAGCCTCCCGGAGCCCAGCCGGCTCCCATTGCATGTAGCCACTGTGTCTGTCAAGTGCTTTGCCTGCCTGGTCTTGTGTGAGCTGTGACGTGCTGTCTGTGTAACGGTGTTCTTTTCCCTCCCTGAGCTTTCCTCTGGGTGATAATTCACTGTGATCTTGACTATCTAATGAGCCGCTGGGAGAGAACTGGATCCAAGGGCCATTTCCTGTTAAACATCCTGAAGACTCCACTGGCTAAAGTCTCTAACCTTAACCTGATGTGGGGAATTTGCACAAGGCACCCGTGAGAGCCATGGTCAGGCCTCCTGGGAAGAGCAGGGAGAGAGATGACCTAGCTAGGAGGCAGAAAGGTAGATGATGACTTCCTTCTAATCGTCAAGTGTCTATAAGGACTAGCCTCCCTTGTGCTCTGAGTTCAAGGTCACAGTGAAAGGTATAAGCTGGGATTTGTTACTGAGAGTGTGGTTGAATTTCCAGTCACTTCAACAATGTTACCAGTGAATTTTTCTAAATTCCCGAAGTTCATTAAAATTTGACTATACCCACTTTTCTGCAGCAGGCTACAAGCAGAAAAACAAACTCTGTTGTTTGATTGGACCACTCCTCATGTAGGAGTCTCATGACTTGCTTTGCTTAAGTGATAGAGATGCCACTCAGTGTGACCTTGAAGTCTCCTTGGAACAGCCTTCTCCAAAGGGCTGCCATCACACGTTTAGTGAGTGGGTGGATTCCCTGAGCCCCCAGACTCGGCAGACGAGGCAAGACTGGGAGGGGGGGTAGTGTCGCCTGATGTAGCTGTCTCAGGCTTATTGGAAGGCCACAGAAGGAAGGGCTGGACCTGGGTATTCCCCCGGCCCTCCCTTCGCAGGAATGAACACTAGGATCTGCTTCTTCATTGCACTGTCATTTAGTTTATTAGAGGAAGTTGTCATGTCCAAACGGAAACGTGTTTATTCTCCTTCCGGAGCACTAGGACACTGCAGCAACTGGGGAGGGTTCCGAACCCAGAAGGGAATTCAAACTGCAAGCTTGATTTTTATTCTTTAACTTATCAGATCCAGACGCCCCTGTGGCACCAAATTCTCAAACTCTTGACACTCACAGCTGAAGTTCCCTGCTTAAGAGCTTGTTTTTCCTTCTTTTTTCTCCCTTCCCAAACATGCTGGAACTGACAGCTGAGTTATAAAACCCTGTACCTCCTCTGCATATTCCTCTGGGGGAACACAACCTCCTTTTAAACAGATTCCAGTAGACACACAGGTGATAGAAATGCAGAGATGAAGGGCATCAAAGACTTCAAAAACACAGGCAGGATAGGGCCCAGGGTGGGGCCAGGACTGCCGCCTGCTGTTCCTCACCCAGCTCCTGCAGCACCCGGAGCTTGCCCAGCGCCCACAAGTCTGTCCTGCCTGAGGGCAACAGGAGCCCTGTGAGGATCGGAGACAGCCCTGGTTTGGATATAGAAGAAATACTGTGATTCTTCTCCTGTCTGGAGAGTCTGAGAACTAGAGAGACCCTTCCTGCTGGTTTCCCAGGGTGGAGCAGGATGAGCTGACATGTAAAAGCTGCCTCTGAATTCTCCTGTCTCCCTCGTGGGTCTCCCATTCTGAATTCGAGTGAGATGAGTGGCCTCTGGAGCCACCAGCCACATGAGCAGCAGTCAGCAGGATTAGGATGAAGGGCCTATGGGAGCCTTCCAGGGCTTTCATGCTAGTGAGAGTTTTGGAGTGCAGACAAGGCATGGATAGTGTCAAGGAGTCTCTGACCTGAAAATGATTAAAAACAAAGCAAGAGAAGTGAACTGAGAAGTGGAGAGGGCTAACATAGGATCCAGCGAGGACCAGAGATGGCTCCTCCCGAGGGAGGCGGCAACAGGAGCAGTAACAGGAAGCCCCAGGCCCATTCTCTCCCAGTGCGGTGCTGACAGGGCTGGGTGAGCTGCACTAGCTCTGGGGAGCAGGCCGATGTGGGAAGGCGGGGGGTCAGGAGGGTTCGGCCCATGTTCTTCTTAGGTCTGGAGGCAAAGGGTGACAAGGCAGCCTGTCCTGCCCCCTGAACCCTGGCCAGGCATGTGCCCAAGCCCCAGGGCCTCCAGGTCCAACAAGGCAAGGTGAGCTTTCAGCCAGCAGGCCCCCAGCAGCCCGGCACCATATTCCCACCTCAGCTTGCCATGGCCTCAATTCCATCTTTTTCCCCATGCCCTTGCCCTCCAGGACTCCCCTGAGGCGATGCTCTACCCTGAGCAGGACTCCTTGGTCCCCTCACTCCAACTAACTTCCTTCCCTACCTCCCCCTTTCTGTGCCCCACCCCTCCACGGTCTCATGCAGCCTGGTGAGGGGGTGCCTCTTAGAGGCCCCAGGGCAGAAGGGAAGAGAAGAGGAACAGCTTCACAAGAGCTCCAAGCCAGACACTCATCCAGCACTAAGCAAAACTCAGTTCACTCCTCCCCATAGCCATGTGAGGCAGGGGCTGGGGTAAATACAAGGTGACACAACAAAAGTGCTGGAGTCCTGAGCAGCCAGTGCACAAGATCCTTCAGTGGGCAGCCCATGCTACCCACCAGGACACCTAGTGCACTCGTCCCAACGGCTGGGATGGGGGCCATGACCACCCAGCCACCTCAAAAAGAGCCAGATCCCACTGGGGATGCAGTACCCTCAGCTGGGCCAGGCAGGAGGGACATCAGGGCTGCTTTCTCAGCATGCGGCTGAGGCAGGGCATGCCCTTGGATGCTGGATCCCACCCAGCCCAGAAGATTTCAGGGCATACGGAAGTTCCTCCTGGAATCTTCTGTTGCTCCACCCAGGAGCTTAAGAACTAGGGAAGAGAGCAAGAGGAGAACATAGGAAAAGGGACCTGGACTCAGGGGCCTGGGCACAGCCTGGCTTTGCAGAGACCTCAGGGCTGTTATCTACTTGGAAAAGGTGGGCAGCTGGCCTGCCATCTGTGGCAAAGGGAGAGAATCTAGTGCAGCCAACCCCACCCTGAGCTGGCTCCACCCCAGCCAAGGGCCACATTGCTCCGAGCAGGGCCCACCCCACTCTGTTGCTGTGTTAACTACCACCTCCTATTGCCAATGGATTCCAGAACGCAGAGGAGAACTCCCGCATCTCCATCACTTTCTTCCGCCTCTTCCGGGTCATGCGCCTGGTCAAGCTGCTGAGCCGCGGGGAGGGCATCCGGACCTTGCTGTGGACCTTCATCAAGTCCTTCCAGGTAGCCACCTCTACCCTAAACAGCTGGAAAGAGAAGAACCTCCTCATCTCCTGGGTGGCAGGGCTGCACGGGGACTCCACCCCAGCTTCCACTAAGACTCCCAGAATGGGAGGTGACACAGTAAAAGAATAAGCAGCATCTAGGAGTCAAGACAGGGCTCACTCTGCTGCTCCCTACTGAGTGACAGCAACCTCCCTTCTGCTCCTTGCTTTTCCTCATGTCTGAAATGAGTCGGTTGGATTCAATATGTGGTTGTCAAAAGCATGTTTCTGGAGCCCCAGATTTCTCCAAAGTCAGGGAAGGTTGAGAGCTAAACAGGAGGCTGAATCGTTCTGCTTTCTTCTCTCATTATGTAGTTTTCCACAAGAATTGATTGCTCTAAGGGGTTTTGTGGTGGAATAAATTTGAAAAACATGACCCCCATGGCCCCTCCTAGTTCCGGCATTTTTAGAATCTGGCTGTCACCTTCCTCTCAATAAGCATTGCAGTAGTATCTGCTGTCTGTACCTACTTGTGGACTTAGCCAAACTCTCCAGGACCCTGGCTGTCACTCCACTGGAGGAGAGACAGTCCCCGCAAATGGGCACAGGGTTGCCCAGCTACAGGATTCATTCTCTTTTCTGTAAAAGCAGAATAATGATAGCTTCTGGCCATCTCTGAGGACTGTTACGTAAGTTTGGAGTTAAAGGGAAGCAAAGCTCTGTCAGGTCACTTGAATTCCTTGAAGATGAGTTCAGTAGGGACGCCAGCACGTGCTTCCAGGTTTCTGGTCCTGACACTGAATGCAGCTCCTCCTGCCCATGGAGGCACTGCTCTCAGGCTTCCCAAGACAAGGAGACACGCCAGCGCTGAAGAATTCCTTCCGTGACCCTGCCCTGGCGGGTCCGGGCCCAGGGACCCAGCACCGAGTGGGTCCCTGATCTAGCTGTGCTGCAACGAAGTTTACAGAGGTAGGGGGCTTGCTTTGGAGACCCGCCGCCCAAAGGCGTGCACAGCCCTGCAGACAGCCTCCTGCCCTGGGACCTCATCCGAGGGGGCTGTGAGTGGACCAGCAAAGGAAAGCTTCAGCCTGGCAGCACTCATAGCCCGTCCTCTTCCCCTCAGACCCATGCTGACGCCCCACTTCACGATGAGCCTTGGCGCCCTACCTGTCACCCCCTCACCCCACCCCCTACCCCCAGCCCTGTTCAGTCCCTGGGAGTCTGAGGAGTCTGGTGGAAACAGGACTAGGCTGACCCTGTCCACAGATGCACCTCGGAGTCCCGCAGATATGAATGACCACATACCCAACATACTCAGCCACCCACCTCGCCCCCCAGCATTTCCTGGGCTAGGAAAAGGCAGCAGACACGGTGACTGAGGAGCTGCACTTGAATGCAGAGCGGGAGCGCGCACGAGACAGGCATCATGTGGTCTCGCAGCGCCACCTGGTGGTGGGCAGGAGCCTGGCGAGGCATTTCCTAGGCGCGCACGTGCAGCTCTCCTGACTCCATCACGCGCGCTGAGCCCCTGTGGCCTCTCCCCAGAAGCCGCCCGGACGCTGGAAAATTAAGTTGTCCTAGCTGCTTGGCAGATGACACCTTGAGTGAATAAAATGTGTGGGATCCACCTATGTGCAAGGCAATGCACAAGGCGTTTTATAAGCCTTAAATCATTTAAACTCCGCAAAATCCCTGAGAGATCATTGTTACTCTTCTCATTTTTCAGTTGAGGAAACTGAGGCTCAGAGAGGTTAAGTAATCTGCTCGAGCTCCCACAGCTGGAAAGTGGCAGAAAAAGGATTTGAGCCCATGATCTTTCTTTTATTTAAGTTTTCCTTAGTAACTGTTTTTATTACAACTAGTGGAACAACATAAAGCTGTGGAAAGGAGGGGTATGACCTACCTCCACCTTTGCCCCCCAGGAAGCCTTGGTGTATGTCCTCCATGACTTTCTCCTTGCTGTACAAAGATATATGTCTAGTCAGAGGACATTTTGCTCATCTTTTATTGCTTTTACTAAGTGATATCACCCTGTTTCCCTTACTCTGCCACCTGTTTTTCTCAGTACACCGCACTGCTTCTCAGGTGATTAAAACCAGGCCAGATGAGGGGTCAGTGCCTTCTCCCAGGTGCCCAGAACTTCTGTGGGGTTCTTAGAAATGCCCCCAAGCCAGGCAGCAGCTTAACGACTACAAATGCAGTGCTCTGGGAAGGCGTCCAGCCAGCTGTCCCCACTGGCCTCACAGTCTCTTGTGCTTCCTTCCAGGCCCTGCCCTACGTGGCCCTTCTGATAGTGATGCTCTTCTTCATTTACGCCGTGATCGGGATGCAGGTAGGATGTTTGGCTCCTCTGCCTCCTACTTTCTCTTCCCTGTTCCCAGCCCCACACTCCCTGACACCCTCCTCCTTCTCACCTCTGTCTTGCTCCTGACAGTCCCTCGCTCTCCTCTTCCACCTTATGAGGCCTAAAAGGTCACAGGGACTGGAACTTCCCCCCAAATGGTATCCTGTAGGTAGCAGGGCAAATGACCAAAAGCGGAATATGCAGTTCAGAGAGCTCCTCTCCCCATTGCCCTAGGTCTGGGTTCTGCTTTCAGAAAACACTCCCAAACTATGTGGTGGGCCTCAGGAGAGATAGGTCCTTCTCAGGAAACAAGGCATGTCAGACAGCATCCCTCCCTTTGTCTGGATCTAATGGGCCTGAGAACAACACTTGACCCAGTGTCATTCAGAAGGAAGAGAGAGAGGGAGAGAAGCAAGCTCCCCCCATCAAACATGCAGCATTTTCCAGAGAGCTCCCCTCACAGGTGCCCACTGCCCCTTCTCCTGCCCCAAACACAGCGTCCTTCCACCTCTCCTCTGGATTCTAGCAGAACACCCCGCCCCGCACTGCTCCCTGGCCAGGAGCTTCTCCTCAGCAGCTGCTTAAATAAGATTCCCCCACTTGCTCCTTGCAGGAATACCCCAAGGTTCATAAGCCGAAATCTTTTGAGATGAAAGAGCTATCTTGCCACTGATCAAGTGTGGCAGTTTCCAAAATAAGCATAGCTTTGAAAGGCCACGGGGAAAAAAAGGAGGCCTCTAATTTCAAGGATGCATTAAACTTGCCCAAGCCACAGATGGCTTATTCCATATCACTCCAAAGAGAAGAAGGCCAGAAGAGTAAGTTCTGAGGCTGTAATGGTGACTATAACAATAATATGGTGTTGTATCCTTGAAAGTTGCTGAGAGCCAAATATTATTAATAGTAATAATAACTACGTGGTATGGATGTGTTAATTATCTTGATCTTGGTGATGAGCCTACAATGTATATCGACATCAAATCACCACCACATAGTACACTGTAAATATATACAATTATATTTGTTAATTATTCCTCGAGAAAGTTTTTCTAAGAGAAAATATTCTTTGGAATGTACGGCCAAAAAAAAAAGACAGAGAGAGAGAAGGCCAGTGAGTCCCCTTTCCCGGCACAGAAGCAGAGTTCTGGTCTCAGCATGCACCTGCTCTCAGCCTCAGCTCCCACCAGGCCACAGGGACCGCTCCTGAGGGCCCACAAGCACTTTTCTTCTCCCACTTGTCCACTGTAGGGATTGAGATTGGGGGCTGGACAGAGCAGCAGGTGCCTGGCCCCATGAGGCCCTGCCAGGTTGCATCAGGGAATTCTGCTCAGCTTATAGGCCAGACTGTCCCAGGGTCAGCTGTGACCCTTGAAGAGACCATTAAATGATGGGTGGAACTAGGGCCCTCTCTGTCCATGGTTCACAGAATCCCCTTCCTCTCTCCCTCTAGGTGTTTGGGAAAATTGCCCTGAATGACACCACAGAGATCAACCGTAATAACAACTTTCAGACCTTCCCCCAAGCTGTGCTGCTTCTCTTCAGGTGGGTCTCTGAGGACAGGTGCACACAGACATACCTACACGATGCAGCTCTATGGTCTGGATATAGAACGAGCGGAAACTCTCCAGGGGAGTGGGCAGGGAGAGAACTAGTGTTGGATCTTCCACCCCGACTGGAAAGCTGGTCATTTCATTGTTGTTTACAACTTCCCATCAAGCAGCCACTGGCACAAGTTGCTGGTAACCACCTGAAACCACTAGGGCATCAAAAGGCAAATACGGAAAGCACCCTGGTTTTAAAGCTAAACAGGTTCAAAGCGAAGCCTGCAACACACTTGCTCTGTAACCCTAAGACATCTAACTTCTCTGAGCCTCAGTTTCCTCAAAAGCCTGCAACACACTTGCTCTGTAACCCTGAGTAAGACATCTAACTTCTCTGAGCCTCAGTTTCCTCATGAAGCAAGTACAGGTGCCAATGTCAGTTTCCCTTTGTCGGGTGGTTACCTCCTTGTGTGCTTGGTTCCTCCCCAGTTAAGCCAGCCACGCGCCTTCATTTCTTGGAAGGCCACTGCTTCTGGTATAGCTGGGGAGGGCAGGATTTCTCATACCTGCTCATGAGTGAGTCCATGCCGCAGCCTGCTTCTCCTTCCTCGCCTGCCTCCTAATGAACCCCTGGTCTGCCTGCTTGGTTCTTCTCACTTTCCTGGGACCCCATCAGGTCCAGGGCTGGGAGATGAAAGCTGTTTATCCTACCCGGGACCACATGATTTCTGAAGTCATTCTAGCTCATGTATTCCATGTGCCGTGGCATTGGGAGAGGCAGCGGGCCCTTTATTATCCCCCGGGAGCCCTTTCTGTGTCCGATAGCCCCAACTTCACCATGCTCTATGGAATCTTTTCCCCACACTCCAGCCCAAGTATCATTATTCCTCCGATGTATTAAATCAAAATGGCAGGCCCCTTAAATATCAGTCTGACGTCACCATCTCCCTCAGATTGTAGGCTATGAGAACACAAGGGCCATTGTCAACTGCAATTTAGCAGTATTTAAGCCTGTGTGACATTTAAATCAGGGAATTAGACACAGATAGCACACCAACTACATGGTTCTATCTCCCATCTTTTCTTAAAGCCCTTGATGACAGAATATATTTTTTTAAAAAATAAACCCATAACAGTACTAGGAAGGAAAAAACCTAAGTGTTATTAGTGAACAGCAACAAAGATATTAATAATCACTAAAAATTAAATTTATTAAAAGACAGATATTCTAATGTTGGCAGTAGGAAATCTAGCTCTAGCCTGTTGCTAACAGATAGAGTAAAATAAAATAGCCTGAAAAGAATAAAAATAAAGGAAGGGAAAAGGGATTTCAGACAGTGTCTACCAAGAAAAGTAGGTGTAGTAATAGCACTATTAAAAGAAATAAAATTCCAGGTGAAAGGCATTAAACAAGACAAAGAGTGATATTCAGTATTGACAAAAGATATAATCCACCAAGAATATATAACAATCATAAAAACTGCATGAGCATAGCAACGACGCTTGGAAATATATCAATCAGACTGATAGAACTGTAAGGAGAAAATGAACATACATGGACACATAGTGGGAAATTTTGATATAGCATGCAGAAAATTACAGATCAAATAGAACAAAATAAAAGAAATGGTAAAGAAAATCTAACTAACACAATTAACAAACCTAACCTAACAAATTTGTACTCAATAAATAGCAAAAAAACAACGTACCCAGAAACATTCACAAAAATTAGCCAAGATTTGGCCCAGCAATTGCACTTCTGGATATTTATCCAAAGAACTAAAACAATAATTCATAAAGATCTATGCATCCCTATGTTCATGGCAGCACAATTTACAATAGCCAAGATATGGAGGCAACCTGGGTGTTCATCAATGGATGAATGGATAAAGAAGAGATGGTACATATATTCAATGGAACATTACTCAGCCATTAAAAAAATGAAATCCTACCATTTGCAACAACATAGATAGACCTAGAGGTTATTATGCTGAGTGAAGTAAGTCAGACAGAGAAAGATAAATACCATACAACTTCACTTACATGCGGAATCTAATGAACAAAAAGAACAAACTAATCAAAAAACAGATTCACAAATATAGAGGACAATTTGGTGACGGACAGAGAGAAGGAAGATTGGGGAGCTGGGAGAATGTGGTGAAGGGTTAAAGAAGTACAAATGAGTAGTTGATAGATGGTCATGGGGATGGGGAGCACAACACAGGGAATGCAGTTAGCATTAATGAAATGGCTAGGTGGAGGGCCAGGGGAGAGAAAAAACACTTAGGAGGATCGTTTTACAAACTACATAAATGTCTAACCAATGTACTGTATACTTGAAACTAATAAAATAAAATTTTAAAAAAATTAGTCAAGATTTAAGTCACAAAGAAAAATTCAATAAATTCAAACTTCAATACAGTAAAATTAAAATAATCATAAAATCAGTAGTTCCTCGAAAGTCTATTCACTTAAATGTTTTGAGTCATTGTTCTAAAGAACTCACAGCTGAAGCACAAAATACTTAGAAATGAGAGTGAGTCCTTAAATTTATGGACTGTACCAACTAATGCCAAAGGAAAATTCAGAGCCAAAATTAACTTATTTTTTGAAAATTTGCAATAAGTAAACTAATAGATGAGGAAAGAGTAGCAAAGTATGAGGGAATGCATTTATTAAAACAAAAGCAGAAATTAATAAAATATGTTTAAAATATATTTATCAATAAACCTTAAACTGATTCTTTGAAAAGACCAATAAATAGACAAACTCTTATCAAATCCAATTTTTTTTTTTTTTTTGAGAATTTTTGTAAGCATTTATTTGAACCAAACTGACAATGTATGCTGAGGAGCAAGATCTCAAATGCTCTGGAGAGTAACAGTTTTGTAGCTTCTTTTTTGCATTTGAAATTAGGCGGGAACTTAAAGATTACACAGAGATGGGAAAAAGCACCTGGTGGGGGATGGGGGGATTACAGGATAGTTAATGAGTTATGTACTTTCTTGACAGTGGTTACAGTTTATTTCAAAGGTGTGTTAACCTAGATGCACAGAAACAATGGACAAGGTTTGCTTAAGGCAAAGATAAACCTTTTACTAAAAGTTATATGCTTGGGGCGTGACTACCTACAGTGACCTGCCCAGTTAGGAATTTATGATCAGATCACCTTATGAGGTTACTTTCCATAGAACCCCTTTTTGTCCACAGTTTCCCCTTTTGGTCACAAATCAGTCTGAAGGATGCACTGATGACTAACCTTTTGATCAGATAGTGCAGTCTCGAAGGACTAGGAAGGCTCATTCTTACGCAGTCTCAGTAACAGCCTTGTCTTGTTGACCATTGGGGATGGGCAATGCCATAACCGTACGATCTGAGTTAAGGCCAATTTTTTCCCAAAAAGGGAAGGACAGGTAAATGGAAGGCAGTCAAATCTTGTAGCCTTCATTGTGGGAAAAGAAAACTCTGGATCATTTACATCCAGTGAACTATCATTAGTCTAGTTTTGCCTCTGTCTCATTTTTCTGTATTTGACATTTAGTATAACATTTATATAACCTATGGAGAGTATTAACAGTTATCTTCTACATGTTCAGTAATCATAAACAGTTGGACTATATAGAAAAAAAAACAAAAAACAAGTTATTATTGTGACTAATATCATTAGCAGACTAACCTATCTTTACCTAGATAATCAAACAAAATGGATTCTGAGTTCAATATCGATCCATAAGTATACAAGCCTTGTTGATGTCTTGAAATAGCTGTCTACCCTCTGGTGTCAGCAGCCTCTCATCCTAGAGGCGTCTTTGGTGTCTGCTATAGGTGGAGGCAGGTGTCAGAGACAGAGATAGATGTCTGTTCATAGTTAGGCACCTGATAAGGTCCCTCCCAAAGAGGCTGCAGAGTGTCTTGTATTTGATGTCCTTTCCAACAAACAAATCTAAAGTCTATCTCCTGGGAGCTCACTGTGAAAGGAAGCAGTTACCAACTTGGCATTTTCTTGAAGTGACTTTATCAAACCTTGGCAATAGTATAAGATGTCTCCTTTTTAATAATGTCAGCTCATGAGTTCCTTCATCTAAATCCAGCTTAAATGTACTGTGATGCATGAAGGAATGTAAAAAACAAAAAATGGGGAGTCAGGGAGCAGGGAAGAACCAAGTGGCCACCATAGGTTTCCTATGGCCTTGAGTATTCACTTAATTTACAACCACTGTTTACCCTGGAAGTTTTCATACATACATAGAGATTTTTAACCCTTAATACCTTGATGTTTAATGAAAATGAAGAAGTAATCAATTAGCATTCTTTAGCTTGGACATTTTATAACCTCTAGAAACATTTTTCATAGACATAAAAATCGATTATTAACATGGACTTATTTTGTAAAACCCAGGCAAAATAAAGACATGTCTATTTGACTGAAACCACGAAACTTAAGCAAGCTTTTATTTACTAAGGATTAATCTTAGATCACATGAACTTGAGAAGTATTTGAGTTAGTTTCTATATTTCTGAGAATTTTAGAATCCAATCTTTACAAGCGCTTGCCTTTAAATTAATTTTAACAATACCATCTAGAGGTAAAAATTATCTCACTTTTATAATACACATATATAGACATACACAGACAGACACAAACAGAGACCTTTTAGCTATGAGAAAAACTCACTGATTCATAAAAGAACAGTTGGATCCAAATTTTGCCCTAAAACATTTATAATTATATCTGTCCTTGACAAGTCAAGTTTCAAATGACTTTCCCTCTTTTAAAATAAGGACAGACATTTTTAATACCTCAAAGAATTAGGTTGACACCTAAACAACATCATAGGTTGATCCATTAATCTAAACCCTTTTTTTGAAGCTTCAAAAGACCAATTAAATATGCTTTCCATTCTTTATGCCTAATTTTATTTCTATTTCTTCTTTCTGCCAACTTTTTCTGTGTGCGCAAAAGATTAATTTAAAAGTATCGAAGGATCCTCATCTTGACCA